GTACGTTTTTGTTACAGGGCCCTGTTTCCTTTGTCCGAGTTAAGAGACCCTGGCCACGCATATAAACCATACGGCTCCGATTTCGGAGTCCCCGGCAGGTAGTGGTTAATAATGCCATTATCCACAGGCTTGCATGCAGTACAGGTACATACATGTATCTTTATGTGATACCAGTTACAGTCCATATTTTACATTCTGGATTGGATTGATTCTCCAGTAAGGTTCACTGTCTGTCTACTAGTTGATTACCATGTACTGTACATGTACTGGTAGCTGACTAGCCATAACTTCCACGCTACCACCCGGGGTTCTTCCGACGTTCGATCATACAGTCGCCAGAGCCATCAAGAGCCATACCTGTACATGTACATGTACTGTACATCTGCCACTGAAAAAAACAACGATCCTTGAAAAAAATTATAGCTTTGTCCTTGCAGTGTCCCCTGAAATTCATCAAGAGATGCTCTGGAATTATTTGTACAGCAGCCAACAACTACGTCAATATATGGATTGTGTCAATATATGCATGTACATGTATATGAACACTTGCATGACGTGTGTAGTGAATTGAAGTGTACTTGTTCTGTCTTATGATGTGATTTGAATACTTCAACTGTTTTATTTTTTTTTCAAGAATAATGCTACGGTTGTACGTATGTTCAGGCATGTTCACCACTTCTTAATGTAGCCAATGGGAAGCAAATTTAGCACAGCAAAAATGTTGGCATCGATTTCTATGTGGGGAACATTACCTTGCAGTCGGAAACCAAAAAACTGGGGACCAGAGCGCATACAAGGGCAGTTCGTTCCTAGGGTGTCAAGCAGTGCATGTACGTGTATGTAACAACTTCCTCAAAAGTGAGGATGTGTAAATAAATAGGAACAAATTGTTGAAACATCATCTGCTTTAAAATAAACCAACTGCTTAAAAGCATGTGGAGTGGGATTTGAGGCCACTACAATAATTATTTGTAGGTAAAAAGCTTGTGTTCAGCCAGCATATACACCTGTACAGTAATAATCAAATAAATTTCTTGGGCAAGAAGATGACAGTGTCTACCCCCAGAACTGTAGGGGTCAACGTCTGCCGCACTCACAGTTCTAGAGGTAGACACAGTCATCTTCTTGCCCAAGAAATTTATTTACGTCCACACGCATCTGCATAATTTTTTCTAGGAGGGTTAGGGGCAATTACATATGAGCGTGGTTAATTGCAAGCTAGATTAATTTCATAGAAACTTATCTGGCAAAGGAAATAAAATTAGAAGGTAAATGTCAGGCTTTACTTTCCCATTATAAAAACATCCTCCAAGCAGCTAACCCCTCACCCAAAACTCGTAACTGTATTCACACAGACTAATTCGTGCCTTACCGCTGATAAGTCGAGCGCTCTTCTATATGAGCAACTGTGCAACTCGGGAGAGAAAGTAATCTTCTTGTAAAATTTCAAGTACATGTAATCATGTTGTAAAAAATTTTAAACATGTACTTAAATGTTTGTCCTGGCCATTTATGATAATTGCCTCCAACCTTCTAATGACAAATACATGTATGCATGCGCAAAGGTGCAGATAAACAAATTGTATAATAATTACTCCTCACCCACCTCCTAAACACCACACTTCCACCATTCTTATTTGGGCCAAGGCCAGACCTGCCCCTGATTCGTCATCGGTACATTCATCAATACTTTAATGATGATGCACAATTCGCAGGCGTAAGTTCGTACTGGTAGCTGTGACATGCATACATCACTTTTTAATAACCTTGATATTTCTCAAACTGGGGAAATGATGCGGAACACAGTTCTTAGAGCTCTCTGTTTGACAACCACACATTCCATGGGTTCAGGCACCTGTTAATTTGTGTTATGGGGGATTTAAAAGTAAGTCAAGGGGGTTAAGGGAGTTTAAGAACAACCCAATTCTACGCTTACTTTGACCATTCAGGCAAATCATTGACAGTCTGGGTTTTGTTTCCCTTTCCAACTTTTTTCCAGACTCTGTCAACATTTGAAATCTTCAGTATGTACGGCTCATGCTGAAAATATACAGACAAGTACATAATGTTCTGGGATAAAGAAACCAACAGTGCAGCTGAATTATAATTTTGAAATAAAAGGGAACATTTATGAAAAAATGAGGGTTGTGTACCTGTACGTACATACATGTACTGTACATGTATAAATTCGTGTGTAACATACACGTACGGATAAAAATCCATGTACCAGTGCAATTTAGAACTTCCACATGTAGATGTAATGGGGACTCAAAATACTTAGTTTGTCCAGAACCATTTATTATAGGAGTGGTTTCCCCCCCCCGTCAGATAGCAGTCCTTTCCTTTTTTCTACTTGCCCTGCCTTTCATAGTAGTGTTTCCCCCTCCCTATGATAATCCCTAGAGTAAACACTGTAGCTTTAAGATACCAGTTGTGCTAGAGCATGGGCAGACACAGACCAGCAGCCAGAGGGAGAACACTTAGCTCTCACTGCCTCTCCTGTTCTTTAACAAGTTTTCATGTACATGCCTGAAGATTTGGTCTGCCGAGGGCTTGGTTTCTTAAGCTTGAGTACGATAATATTTGCTTCTATTTACTGGGTGCTGTGTTGGTTAATCACTAGTTCAGTACAGGTCGTGTTTAAAGGCATTGGGTCATACAATCTCGTTTGAAAGTCTTGGTTGAAGGTCTGGTTGGTCTGGTCTATCCATTTTGTGTGTAATTTATTTTTTTGGTTCACCGTTTAAGGAATTTCTTCTGTTTTGGGGGGGTTGTGCAAACTGTCCAAATTTCACTACTTTCTTTTTGTGCAATTGTCAGTTCAATTTCTCTTGGCGTCTAGAATAAAATACTGTTTATTTGAACTTAATTTGAATCTCTCCTTGTTTCCCTTTGTCTTTTCTAGTGAATATCTTGCAACTCAACTTCTTACTGATCCTTATTATTATCATTATTGTTATTTATTCTTTTTTGTCCAGGTTTGCGAGTTTTCCCCATTTTGTTGCACTGTTCTATTTTTCTAGGTTACATAGACACAGATGTACATGTACGTCAGCCATTCCGTGTAAGGGTCATCATCAAACTTGAAAATTGAAGTGAAATAAATAAATTTTTCTCAGTTGTATTTGATAAGAGGAATATTGAAACCATCTAAATCTCAAAGGAACTTTTAAATCAAAGAATTTTTTATTTAGGTTACAGTCTCCTGAATATGGATGAAATTTGTGGTCAAAAAGGAGGGGCAGGGGTACAAATCACGAACTTAGAAAGTAATTGAAGCTCATTCATATGATTTTACTTTAACTGCATACATTAGGTAGCTGTTCCAGTCTAGTTGATAAAACATCGAAAATTTTTCCAAATGCTTTTTGTATTTTCCAAGGTTTTAATCATGAAAACACTCTCAAAATATGTCATGCGGGTTTGAAAAATTTGACAATTTTTTTTTAGTTTACTAAAAACTAGACAGGGATTCAGTTAGTGTTTGATATTTGTAAATCAAGTAGTAGTGGTCTATCAATAAAAGCGTTAATATTCTTACAGTTTTATTTGCTTTGCATTCCTTGTAGAAAAAACTCTTTCAAGAGTGTCACACATGCACTGTGTCCATGTACAGTCACGGGAGTCACACGCCAGGAATTGAAATTGAGTGTAATTTTCACTGTGAAAACATTAAATTGAATCAGTTAATGAAATTAAAGATTTTTACCAAATGAATGACGTGTACATCCCAGTACAATTGCATCATTAGTTGCAGCTCTTTCCCTTGTAAACTCTGTCAATTGCATGTACAATACAATGTACATGCAAGTATGATGATGGGCACATGTAAATATACAATACATGTACATGTACATAAGATGGGCAAGCATACATTGTTTATTCAGACACCCTGGCCAGCAGATGCTGAAGAAGTAGATGATATACTGTGCACTGTGCCACAACCCAACCAGATGAACAACAGGGGACAGCTGCAGTTCAATGTGGAGATCATTGAAAGTGCAAAAGAAAAAGCATTGGACAAACCAAAAATTACTTCTGTTTTTCTGAAATAATCATGTGGAATTCATGACACTCACTTCAATTAGATTCAGAGGCAGTTTTACTCAATGTCATTGTTATGAATATATGACCTGTCAGCACAAAATAAGCTGAAAGTCCGAATTTTCAAAATTGAGATATTAGTATTCAAGTTGAATTCAGCAGAAAAAGCTTTCTAATAGTATGTACATGGAACACTTAGGGTAAATGTATAAGTTGACAATGTGGCTTTATTCTTGCAGCCTTGCGTCTTCGTTCCCGACATTGTTTCAACATTTTAGACCAGGCACAAATAATGCTTTCGTGAAAATTGCTAAGAAAATGACATTTTACACTGTGATTCTGCAAAATATTTGGAATTAAATAGGAGTGGGTTAATATTTCCAAATATCACAAAACCAAAAAATTGTCCTCTACTTCAAAATAAAACTTTGAACCCTCAAAACAGGAAAGAGTAGGATGCGACTTTTGTTAAATACCAGATTTCTAATCAAAATTTGCCAAAGTAAAGGAATAAATAGCAGTTTTCACACTCTTCCATAATGTATTTGCAGGTACATGTACATCATTTTTATTAATGTTATATTATAATTTGATTTGTTTTACTATTATTACAGTTATGATGTAAAAGTAAAACGCTACCACGTCACGCGAGTCACGCATTTGAGTCACGCGAGTCACATTTTCTTCAGGCCATTTCTCACAACAAGAGAAGCTTGGCACAAAGTAACCTTTGCATGGATAAGGTCAGAGTATTAAGTTTTTAGTTCAGTGAAAATTTACTTAAGCAAACTTGTACATTCAGAGGAATGCTTTTAGAATCAAGGGATATGAAAAATCCCCATTTCTATCCTGTCACGCGAGTCACGTCAAAGAAACCGTGATAAAGAAAACAACCAACATTTTAACCACTTCATGCCGGGGACTCCGGGATCGGAAACGACAAAGACTTTACTCCGAACAAAAGACCAGGCTGCCAGGCATTACTGACATTTTTCACTCTCAAAAGTGGTGATAATCCAGCCTCGTTTTGAAACCGTGTACCAGGGTTTGGGGCATTGAGAGTGAGTGGATTACCACCGGGGACAAAAGCACTCCACCACCACAGCGATGAGCCACACAGCACCGCTGCACGCTAATCTGGCCCCTATTGAAAAGAGATCAGTAGTGCACTGAGCCAGGTTCGT